ACAAAAAAAATATTTTGGGATGATCATTAAAAAAAGTTCAAAGTCTCAAGACATATTATTGCTTGGCAAATATATCTGTGTGTATTTTCAAGTGAAAACATGTGTCACTACTATATGGCAATTTGTGATATTCAGCAAAAACGCTCTTTAATCTAAAATAGACAAATAAGTTGATGCACATTTATATTTGCAGGAGTTTCAACATTATACATCAAAACAGTATTGTAACGTTTGTTTTACATTACAAAGGCAGACAATTGTTTCAATGAATTCTTCTGTGCTTTAGGGACATCCAACAAAATTATAATTCATCTATAAATTCAATTCAATTCTAAAGCAGCAACGTTTAAAACAGCACTTTTATATATTTTTTTTAATATATTTATTAAAAGTAATCAAAAATTACAAATTTCTATCTATAAGCTATTGAGCAAAATTATACAAATAAACATACATTACATAAAATTACATACACATATACATCTATACAAACACAAACTAATGTACAAACATAAAAAATTACGTGAAATAGTAACTTCTAAATATCAACTATTTATCTGAAGTCTTGTTTTAGAGGAGCTTGCTATCAAGTAGTAGTGACATCCATTTTTACTTGAATATTTGTATATATATATATATATATATATATATATATATATATATAGCAATATGTTTCCAAGAGAAAACAGATTTTATAAAATATTCGCTCAATTATAAAAATTCTAATAATAAAGTTTACTATACAGAGATGAGACAACTATTTGGGTTTCCATTTGTAAAACGGACGTAGTATTGAGCCAGCAGCTAATTGGACTTATAAATTCTGATTGCTGTTCAATAAGAAAATGTCCACTTTTAAAATAATATTCAGAATACAAGTGAAATTCTTTACAAAATTCCTATTATTTCAGTCATTATATTATTATATTGTCTAGGATTCCAGTCTAGTCATTATAGTAAGTTTACCTTAGAATTCGAGATACCTAGCTGTAAGTATGTAAATACTGTATATTGGCACCCTAAAAGTTTTTTCAAACCCTACATATGGTAGGGTGTACGCAACATATGTAGGTTTTGAGACAAGTTTTAGGGTGACAATATACAGTATTTAAGGACTGACAGCTGGGTATTTCGAATTCCGAGATTCTTACCTAATTTAAGCTTAAATGACTGGACTATATTTCTATAAATTGCTCTTTACTTACTGTAAGTTACATAAACTTAATTGTGATGTTAATACTTTATATATAGAATATATGTTGATTGAGTGATAATTAACAAACCACAAATTCATTAAACAATTTGTGAATCCAAAATATGTCTGAAAATCGATTCATTCTCCGAATACCTGGATTCCATAAGAATTCACTTAGTTTCAAATTATATTTATACCATTCCAAACCAATACCTAAAATGGTTTTATATTACTTCGTCCTGCCCCATTTTCAATAGTCGTAGGTATTCCTGGAACTTTCAATTACCAGAGTCGATAGAGCGTTATATCGTGACTTTCATTGGCCATCAGTGTGTGATTTCTCGTTCGCCGACGCAAGTTTTCGGAAAGTTTAAGCTGTGATCGAATTTCTTGTGCTCCTTTGTATATCTGAATATTCATGTCTGTGCCAGCGTTTCTGTTTGCCTGTATTCGTACAGTCGGATGTGTGCACATGTCGTATCTCTAGCATATGTCAGATGGGAAAAACCAATCGCTCTTACTATATACCAGATATATTTCAATATATTCGATGCCTAGGGGATACGGGGGATAATTGATTTACTTTTGCTGAATTCTGTACTATCAGCATACTTATTAGCCAATCGACTGTAAAGAAATGTAATTTTTGTTTTGTAGTTGATAAATAATTTTATTAACTATTAGTGCATGACATTGTGGCTTAAAAAAAGTTGCCGGAACTTCCCGTTTAGTAATTAAACATTTGCAAAATAAAAATAATCAGTTATCAATAAAAATTTATTAATGAGTACTAATGATATATTCTATATATTTTCAAATAATTATTAAAATTATTGTAAATTTTATCGTCATGTTTCATTAACCCTTATAGGACGGCACCGATTTCAAAACAATCTACTGTACCGGCTGTAAACTTGATTTCATTGTGAATGTTATGCAATTTGTTTGATAAAAAAATGTGCTCATTGAAGAACATACGTTTTTAATATTAATTTATTTTTGATCATTTTATAAAGAATGTTGTCGTTCAAAACAATTTCCAAAATGCATAGCTGGTTGATTTTGACATATTTTACAATTAAATGTTGTTTTCCGTCTTCCTCCTCGGGCTTTTCTGTCAGAACATACAATACAATCCCTTTTTCTTTTTCTCGCATTTAGAATATGCCACTGATTAGTCAATATATTTGTTCATTTTTTGTTGCCATAATGGTTTGTTTTTTTTATTATATTGTCTAATAATTCATTTGTAAAATATGAAGTAAAATAATCCATTGGATGTCTTATATTGCTTGGGATTTGTAGTCGAGGTGTGTGCTGATGTATGTCAAACTCGATTATTGAAGGGGAATCGACACATTCGCTAATGTTTTTCCACTCTACATTTAATTTTTAGAACTTCTTCTTCTTTTTGTTGGTTGGATAATATCATCATCACATTCCCTATCAATATCTTCAGTTCGAATAGTAATTTCATAAAATTTGGCTGTATGAATATCCATTTGAAAACAAAATTTACCAGTCATTTTGCCATATTTAAAAGCGCTAGGTTGTTTTTAATATTAAAAAAAAAACATAGCAAAGAAAAAGGCTAAAAATACTACTAAAACAACTTAAAATTATTTTCAAAATACAACACTGTTTATCACTGCTATATGTAATTTATTCAACGTTTCGATGCAAACTGAGTCATTGTTTATAAAATAGCCTGTGTCTCACAAAAGATGTTTGTCCACTCGGGTGGACAACCCTCGCCAAATATTTAATATAATACCTTTATCTAATTGTAAGTTCATCTACAAGAACAAAATTATAAACTCCGAACAAATGCCAACGACTCAAGAAATATGCTTTTTCAATCACACTAATCAGATGCATCGTACTCTCAATTGCTAATAGTTGCTCTTTTTGCTCTGTATTTTCCAAACCGCTGGACCTGCCTCCGCAAAAGTGTAATCTCTTATTTACCTTTACTCTATTAATACGAATCGAATGTACTTTGGATATACAGGTTTCTCAAAAATTGAATGTTTTTACGCATTTTGCTCCGTATTTCCTAAACGACTGGATCTGCCTTTGCCAGAAACTGATCGGCACCTCTCCCCATCAATA